TTAAAAGCTATAGAGGAACCATTATGGTGCTTGTAAGATCGACCAGGAGTATTCCTAATAATTTAGGAAAACTTTTCATACAATGTCTAATCGATTAGAGACATTATCCTATCAATTATTGCAAGGAAAAAGGATTCTAATCAGTATTACATTTACCACTTTTTTCTTAAGTTTTCATCTCTAAATCTTAGTATTATGTCTTTTGTTTGGTCTGTTTTACATCCACATATTTTATTTCCTCATTTATTAGGTCTTCTAAATGAGCAAGGCCTAAAAATAGTGTATCAGAGAGAAAGCGAGAAGAATGGAGAAAAACATCATAAAGGAGGGCGCCAAATGCATAGTTAAAAGGTCATTGTGGTCAAAACATCATAAATTTTTTTTATTATTTACGATACTGCCACCGTGTTTATATTTTTAGATTTTAAATCGGTTCGAGTGAATACCAGATGTAAAATCATTTTCCCAAATGTCTTTTTTCTAGTAGTGAGACATGGGCCAAAGAAGTTTTTACATCGGTTGGCCACTAAAACCGATGTAAAATCCACGTTTTTTATTTTTTCTTTTGGGGACTTTTTAAATCGGTTGGTAACGTACCCGATTTAAAAACCCTTTTAAATTACTTTTTAAATCGGTGGATAAGCCAACCGATGTAAAAGCCAAGTTTTTTGTTTTTTTTTCTTTTGGGGACTTTTTAAATTGGTTGGTCACTATAACCCGATTTAAAAACCCTTTAAATTCTTTTTTTTAATATTTTTAATATTGTTTTTTAAATCGGTTGCTAATATAACCCGATTTAAAAAACCTTTAAATAATTTTTTTAAAATTTTTACATCGGTTATTTTAATGGCCCGATGTAAAAGATCTAATAATTTTTTTTTAATATTTACGATTCTGCCACCGTGTTTATAATTTCACATTTTACAACGCTTATAGTGAATACCCGATGTAAAAACATTTTCTCAAAAGTCTTTTTTCTAGTAGTGGCGACATCTAACTAGCAATGAAGCAACTCCAAGTGTATCTTAAGTAAATTAGATTCTGATTATTTATGTACAAGAACAAGAACCTGCATAAATAAAACACACGTCAAATGAATTATTGTTTTTTTAATACTTTTGTTATCATCAAAACTAAAAGAGAATATATCAAAAACAAATCTTGTTCTAAAAGTCAATGCTGGACCATTGAATCCCTACTTCTTCGGAAAAAAGTGATTTATTTAAAATTTTAAATTGACAATTACTACATCATAAATTCCGTAATTTTTTTATGGCTAAAGAGTGGCGTTTTTTTTTTAAATTTTGAATAAATCATTTCCAAAAATATTTGGTCAAAGAGTGACGTCACATTGATTTCTAAATATATTTAATTTTAAAATTTAAAATTATTTTTAATAAATATTATGAATTAAAAAAAAACTTTTCAAAGTATATTTATTTATTAATTTTCGGAATTTAGATCAAATTTTGGTCAAATTAATTTCTTTACCAAAATGCATTTATTAATTTTGAAATTTTAGATTCGTTTTTAGTCAATCACATTAATTTAGGCTAAAAAGTAGATAAGAACGAAACAAAAAGAGCAAACTTGTTGGTATAAATACACAATCAAATACAAACCCTAAGGATAGTCTTGAAAATAAAAAAATATTTTCAAGTTATAAAAGATCATATCAGTAAGTATAAATTGACTGAAATTTTATTTTTGGTTACGATCGGCAATGGAGTACCAAGGGTCTCTTTTGAATCGACGCAATCAGTATAGCTATCCTTCTTCGAACACAGCAACGAAATTTCACAATCAGTGACAAGATCAACTACTACCAAATAAAATTTCTTTTTTTCTGGTTGTTTCGATGTACTGAATCGGAAATTCCTCAAAGTTTAAGACTATAATATAAGATAGGGGTTCTTTACATTGATTCTTTCTTAGCTTGGACTATAAATGGAGGATCAATGAAAATGTGGTGAATAGCATGAATTGATTTCTAATAATATAATTCATGAAGGAAATAATAATATTTCTAGAATTCAATTCGATAGGAAACATAGAAATATACTTTTTGGGGGTTGTCGAAGATCCTTTTTGTTAGAATCCCTTCTTGAATTTCATTTTCCAGAATTCAATTCATTAGTCGTCCAGTAACACGTAACAATAATATCAATATCAGTAGAGACATATCCAAGAATGACCTATTCATAAAAACTTGCCCTTATTTTAGGCTTGTTTTTTTTATGTTATCTGGAGAAATAAAAATTATTTTTAACAAAATAAACTCATTCTGTACTCTGCACAATTTTATATTAAAGTAATATGCTGATGTCAGGCAACTGCATCATTTTTTTATGCCAGTGGGTGTTCCAAAGGTAGCCTTTCAAATTCCTGGCGAGGATGAAGCTACTTGGGTTGACTTATACCATCAACATTTTTACAGCAGACTTCTTTTTTTAGGTGACCAGATTGAGAGTGAACTAGCAAATCAAGTTGCTGGTATGATGATATATCTCAGTTTAGAGAACAAGAACAAAGATTTGTATCTGTTTATAAATTCTCCCGGCGGAGAGGTTATGTCTGGAATGACCATTTTTGATACTATGCAAGTTGTAGAAGCACAAGTACATACAATATGCATGGGATTAGCCGCTTCAATGGCATCTCTTATTTTGGCAGGAGGCGGAATTACCAAACATCTAGCATTTCCTCACGCTTGGCGCCAATGATTCTTATTTGTAGAAGAAGACTATGCCTACGCCAATATGAAGTAAAAAAAAGCATGGCACTCTGAGTTCGATATGCAAAAATAATTTTTTTTTTAATTATTTTACAACTAATGAGTAAAAAAAGTCGGGACGACATTCCGTTGCTCGATCCGGACATGTATATCGATGAAGTAGATTGGGATACATGTGTTGATCCTGAACTCTATTTGGATTTGGAGAGAGAAGAAGAGGCCAGACATATCCTGATGGAAAAGAGGCAGCAGGAGAGTGAGATTGTCGACAATCCTTTCGATCATGGATGGGAAATCAAACCTACTGGATGGGGGGACGAAGATGAAAAAGTAACAAAGCCTCAGGAAGCCAGTTATGGTGTTGAAGGATGGATATTTAACAACCATGCAAATAATGAAACAAACTCGTGGGAACAGAATGATTATCACTTTGATGATTTGCAAAATAAGTATCAAGAAAAATATGATGAATATGATAGGAGAAAGAATTCTTATAGGCATGGTAATCAGTATAAGATGAATCGAGGAAGAAGAAATAAAGAAAAAAGAGGAGGAAGGAGGGAAAACATTACATATGTGGCCAAGGCAGCTACTCCCAGTTCACAATAAATTCACTCTTATGAAGCTGCTAAAGTCTCAATTTTGTTACCTAGGAGGTGTTATAGAATTATGACACTTTAAAATATGTGTGTCTTATATTGAATATATGCAATGACTGGCATGTATAAATGATTTTCATTTACAAACTAAAGTTAACCATTAAATTTCTTATTTATTCACAATTTAAAATGATAAATTTTAGGATCATATTAACACTGCAAATCAATATAGAGTTTACTTTTTTTTAAAACGCACAAAAAACCTAAACACAAACCATCAATAACTCCTCTATGTCAACACTGCAAATATCAATTCCTTAAATAAAAAAAAACATAAACCACTACAAGAAAATTTTGATTTTGCCTAGTAATTTAGTGACATGATAAACACGTGAGAAAAAAAATTGGTTGCGACGTGTAAACCACGTCACTACCATAAACCTAAAATCTGCAACGAAAAATTTGAATTTTAAGAGGCAGGGAAATTTGAATTTTTCAAAAATTAAGTTGTGGCGTGTTAAACACATGGGAACAAAAATTTCAAAAAAGTCTTTGTATTTGCGACGTGGAGAACATGTCACAAACTATCCACATGGGATACACGTCGCAAGTTTATAAATAATAAAGGTGGTCAGCTTTTACTTTTACGTTTCAGACACATTAATGATGAAATTTACTGTGACAGAGTTCCCATGTGAATCTCACGTCGCAAATGGGACACATAAATGTTTTAAACTTTATTTTTTATCGTTGCTTTGTCCTTTAATAATGCAACGTTAATATATTAAATGCTGGGAAAATTCTGACGTGTATCTCACGTGGCAACTTTTCTAAGGGGCATTCACGTCGTACATGAGCAAGCCTTTAATGGGTTCCGACGTGGTTTTCACATGGGTAAGTGGGATGGGTACGTTCCCACGTGTCTACCACGTCGCAAGTGTGGCTATATATTAAAAACCCAGAATTTTTTTCACGCATCCTTATTTCTTCTTCCTTTTCCTTCTTTCTTTCCTGTCCTCCTTCTCCTTCTTCTCTTTCTTCCTGTTACTCCTCCATTTTTGAACGAAAGCTACACAAAAAATTTGAGGTAAATGATATTTTTCTTGTTTTTGTTTTTGTTTTACAGTTTATTTTAATTTTTTTCTTATTATAAATTATTGATTTTTTTTTCCGGATCTAAGATTAAGAAGTTGCTCCATTAAAGCTTTAGGAATTTACTCCATTGAGGTATTTACGCAATTAAATTTATTTATTTTTCAGATTTATAGTGATATATGAAATGTTTGATTATTGATTATAAAACTTTAGATTTGTTGTAGTTAGTGCATGTAAATATGTATTGTTGTTGTTGTTGAAAGATAAAATTAAAAATATTAGAAGATATATTATATTAGAAACAAAATATATATTTTTAGAATTAAAAATAGAATATATATTAGAAAAATACTTAATAGAATATATATTAGAAACAAAATATGTAATGTTTTATTTAAATATGTATTTAATTTTTAAAAATAGAATATATATTATATTAGAAAAAGTAGAATTTTTTAAAAATATTTTTAGTAAACAAAATTGTAAATAGAAAAAATTAAAATGTATTTTTAAAAAAACATAATGAATATCTATTATATTTAAAATGTGTTATTTTTTGAAAAAGTATTTTTATTAAAAAATAATGAATATGTATTATATTTTAAATGTGTAATTTTTATTAAACAAATTATATATTATCTTATAGAATAAAAATATTATAGAATACTTATTATATTTTAGTAAACATAATATATATTATTTTAGAAAAAACAGATTTATAAAAATAATGAATATATATTATATTTTAAAAGTCTTATTTTTAGTAAACAAATTATATATTATATTTTAGAATATTATATTTTAGTAAACATAATTTATATTATTTTAGAAAAAATAGATTTTTAAAAATAATGAATCCCTACTTCTTCTGAAAAAAGTGATTTATTTAAAATTTAAAATTGACAATTACTACATCATAAATTTCGTAATTTTTTTATGGCTAAAGAGTGGCGTTTTTTTTTTTAAATTTTGAATAAATCATTTCCAAAAATATTTAGTCAAAGAGTGACGTCACATTGATTTCTAAATATATTTAATTTTAAAATTTTAAATTCATTTTGAATAAATATTATGAATTAAAAAAATTTTCAAAGTATATTTATTTATTAATTTTCGGAATTTAGATCAAATTTTGGTCAAATTTATTTCTTTATCAAAAAGTGATTTATTTAAAATTTTAAATTGACAATTACTACATCATAAATTTGGTAATCTTTTTATGGCTAAAGAGTGGCGTTTTTTTAAAATTTTGAATAAATAATTTCCAAAAATATTCAGTCAAAGAGTGACGTCACATTGATTTCTAAATATATTTAATTTTAAAATTTAAAATTATTTTTAGTAAATATTATGAATTAAAAAAAAAAACTTTTCAAAGTATATTTATTTATTAATTTTCGGAATTTAGATCAAATTTTGATCAAATTTATTTCTTTACCAAAATGCATTTATTAATTTTGAAATTTTAGATTCTTTTTTAGTCAATCACATTAATTTAGGCTAAAAAGTAGATAAGAGCGAAACAAAAAAGCAAACGTGTTGGTATAAATACACAATCAAGTACAAACCCTAAGGATAGTCTTGTGCAAAAAATAACAAACCTCGTAAAACTTCTTCTTGTGTTATTTCGCTGTTGCTTGTTGAAATGGCTAATTGGAGAAGAAACCAAGGGATCCGCAATCATCAAGTGGGTCACCGGAGATCCTCATCTTATGGCGGAAACCCACCTTTGTGTAAGTGTCCTTTTGTTTTCTCTTGCTTTCTTTTATTTGGTTTAGTTCTTTCTTTTAATTCGGCTTAATTCTTTTGGGTCACAGATAATAGGTATTCAACAGTACCTTTATGGGAAGAGAAGTTTTATGCTACGGTAGGTCAAGTTCCATGGCGAAGGCTATTAGAATCGCATTCCAATGTGATGAAGTGGGAAGACTCTGCTGTCAAACAGGCTTTTTACGATGCAAAATTCAGATTTTGTGCTGAGATCAACGGCTATCGCTGGGACGACATTCCGTTGCTCGATCCGGACATGTATATCGATGAAGTAGATTGGGATGCATGTGTTGATCCTGAACTCTATCTGGATTTGGAGAGAGAAGAAGAGGCCAGACATATCCTGATGGAAAAGAGGCAGCAGGAGAGTGAGATTGTCGACAATCCTTTCGATCATGGATGGGAAATCAAACCTACTGGATGGGGGGAGGAAGACGAAAACGTAACAAAGCCTCAGGAAGCCAGTTATGGTGCTGAAGGATGGATATTTAACAACCATGCAAATAATGAAACAAACTCGTGGGAACAGAATGATTATCACTTTGCTGATTTGCAAAATAAGTATCAAGAAAAATATGATGAATATGATAGGAGAAAGAATGCTTATAGGCATGGTAATCAGTATAAGATGAATCGAGGAAGAAGAAATAGAGGAAAAAGAGGAGGAAGGAGGGAAAACATTACATATGTGGCCAAGGCAGCTACTCCCAGATCACAATAAATTCACTCTTATGAAGCTGCTAAAGTCTCAATTTTGTTACCTAGGAGGTGTTATAGAATTATGACACTTTAAAATATGTGTGTCTTATATTGAATATATGCCATGACTGCCATGTATAAATGATTTTCATTTACAAACTAAAATCAACCATTAAATTTCTTATTTATTCACAATTTAATATGATAAATTTTATGATCATATTAACACTGTAAATCAATATTAGAGTTTACTTTTTTTTTAAAACCGCACAAAAAACCTAAACACAAACCATCACTGCAAATATCAATCCCTTAAAAAAAACATAACCAGTCTCCGTTTGTACCCCTAAGCTGTCCCCCACACCCTACGACACCCATTTTGTTTTACCGTACCATTGGTGTTCAATCAAACCAATCAATTATTTTGAAGCATCCATCGTACACGTTGCACCCTTGCTTGTGTTGAGTATGCACTCGACTTCATCATAACATGCATATCATAAGTTTGCACCTTCCTACAAATACCTTCATCATAACATGCATATCATAAGTTTGCACCTTCCTACAAATACCAACCTTCAAATTGGTAGGTAACATGAAATTACTATTAAAAATAAGATATTTATTTAAATAAATTGGTAGGTAACATGAAATTACTATTAAAAATAAGATATTTAGTTAAATGATTTTATATCAGATTTCAAGATATATAATATAAAAATTATTTGTCAAAGAATTTTACATTAGATTTCATAACAATATGAAGTGAAAAATATTTGATTTAAGAATTATACATCAGACATTTATATCCACTTATATGAAAAATAACAAGGTGACAGTTTCGTAAATAATAAAAAAATTTGTTATAAAGGATTTTACATTGAGCCTAGATTTGCACCGGATTTGTGCTCAATGTAAAAAGTTCTTTATGAAAAAATAATAAGAACATATTTTACATCGGACCTGAATTTGTGCCCAATGTAAAAAAAATATCTGTGAAAAAAGTAATAAGAACGGATTTTACATTGGGCTTGAGTCTGCGTCAAATGTAAAAAGGTATATGTGAAAAAATAATAAAAAATAATAAGAAAGGATCTTACATCAGGCATGAGTCTGCGCCTGATGTAAAAAGGTATATGTGAAAGGATTTTACATCGGGCCACATCCCAACTGATGTAAAAACCACTTTAAAACTCTAACTCTCTAGTCGCGAAATTCATTAGAATTTCATATCTTCTTTCTGTCGCGATTCATTCCCCCCCCCCCCCCCCCCCTTAGCAGAACTTTTCAAAAACGCTGTTTATTCTCCCCCCTTTCCCCTCCTATAGCAGCGCTTTTTTGAGCGCTCTCTATGCCCCATCTTTAGCAGCGCTTTTAGGTAAAAGCGCTGTCTATTCTTCACGTTTTTAATTTTTTTTTTAAATAGTCACTTTTTTTTTCCGATAA